CCATCACCATGGCCACTTCACTGCTGCCGCTGCCCCACCATCATGCCTCCACCTCCACCTTAGTTTTTCACCACCACCACCACCACTGCCACCACCACCAAATATAAAAAATATTTTTTTCAAAAAAAAATTTTCGAAAATTTTTTTCTATAGAAAAAATGTTCAATTAAAAATGTTTTTCTCTCAAATAAACGGGGCGAAAGATAAAACCAGTACATCGCTTTAAACATGAAGTTGAAATTTTTATACTAATTGTATTTTGTGTATTATTCAACCGCAAAAAAAGAGTGTGTGAACAAAGTTATAAAAGTCATGCCATTAATTTTTTTTTTCCACCTCCAAAATTTCTATGGTCCACTGCACTTTTTTTTGGTTAAGTTATGGTCCACTGCACTTTGCACAGACATAACATTTATACTTTTTTTCACCACCGGGGGTGCTGTTAACGCGGATTAGGCACTCGCCTACCACGTAGATGGCATGGGTTCGATTCCCAAGGGGGCACAATTTGCTTATAGGCAGGCCGTGTTAACTCCATTCGTTCCCTGTCCTCTGCTTTGGTTGGAGGGTGAGGTTCATGTTATTTCAGTGGTGAGTCTTTTCTTTTGGATTGAGTTAAATTAGGCCGACAATTGGTTATTTCGGGAATTGAACTCATAGATGCCGTGAATCCGTGATAACATCTCAACGCATCTTTTTTTTTTCTCAAAAAAAAAAAATTTAAACTTTTTTATCACTATTTTCTTTTGAGTTTGACCCACCACATGATAAAAATCATTCCACACTTGTTAAAATTATCCTATTTTTGTAAATACTAATTTGAGAAATTTTATGATATTATCACTAGCGGCTCAAGATTATTAGATGCCCTAAACTAAATATCAAAATGAGTCTTTAAAAAGTTAGGGCCTTCAACACTATATTTTTTAAAAATTTTCTTATAGACCTTAGTCGACAATCTAATTAATTTAATGGTCAAATCATTTCTGGATTTTACACCTTTCAAATAATGCATGATGTAAGATTTCACTCATTGTTGACATTTCACTAAATTAAAAATTGAATTTTAAGTTGATATGATAAGTTACCATCCAATCAAAGATTGTACCTTTTTTTTAAAATGATAATTTTTTTTTTTAATCAAACCCCACAAAAAATCAGAGTAAGTCATAAGTCAACTGTGCATGATGCACAGATGCACACTGTAACATCCCAAATTTCTAGCCTAAATGATAAGATAACAATCATGGCTCTTTCAAGGCAAACCGAATATAAATCTCTAAACTTACATTACATGATATAATAGTTCTTCATGCAACAATACATTAATCCAATAACAAATAAATACTCCCAAGGGTTTACAAGTTTTCAAGGCTTGAGGCTGGTTACACAAAACAGTTATTCAAATCCACACAAACACAGCCCTTGGCTTACACGCAGAGTCATAGCAAAATGAAAGCATTGTACTCCCAACACACATATTTTCACGACCCTAGTTGGGTGGGATCACCACATCTTTTCCTGCACAAAAATCACGTAGGGTAAGCATAAAGCCTAGTAGGAAATTCTTAACAAAGTATATACATTTTATACAAGTCTCAAGAGATGAAATACACATGTCATGCTATGTCTTTTTTGAAGATAAATCACATTTTTATCTTTTGAAAATCATCATGCTCACTGATATCATGCAATTTCAATTATTCAAAACTTAACAATTTATTTCAAGGACGGTAAATACGACTCTGGAAATCCCTAGGTCGGTGTCTGCAAGTAGACTATACAAATACTACCAAATTGTCATTTTTACCAGTATTAAACGGAAGGCTCGACACCTATTTGCGCGGGTTTTCGGTCTTTCACCCCAGACTCTCAGGCCAACTTATTCAGTATCATCTACACCACCTATCAAGACTTACCAACGTATTTGCCCCAAAACCATTTCATGAAAACTTGTTTCTCAACATTCTTTTCTCAATACAAGTTTTCAAATCAACTTTCAAAATTTAATGTAATCAAATGAATTGTTATGCCAATAACACAAGATGAATATAAATACTTTTATTCCAATTCATTATCCAAGGAATAACACAATTCCCTTTTCTCAAGTATGCTCAACAATTAGTCATTTCAAGACTATTTCAACGTTTTGAACAATACTTTTCAAAATGAACAACAATTTTCATATAACCTGAAATTCATCATTTATATAAATATAAATAAGGAATTTTCCAAACATCCATTTATTTTGACACACAAAATAAATATAACAATATTATTCATGGATTTTCAGTCTCTAAAAAAAATTTCCAAATTCTAAGTTTTCTCACCAAAACTATACAACTCAAATCTTTTGAAAGAAAACTTTCCAAAATCATCTTTTCTTCAATCAACGAAGATCAAAACCCATAAGATCATTTTAAAAGAACAAGAGACAAACCCACTTTCAAAATCGCTTAACTTCTTGAATCAACAATCAATTTTCAAAACTATCGAAAGATGATTTTGAAAATCATATAGATCTTGCAAAAATTTATATATAACTCTAAGAAAATCCCTACCTCAAGTTTTAAAGAAGAAATGAGATGAAACCCCCAAAATCAACGGTGTCGAAACTCGATCTTCAACTCATACAACGAAGCCCTCGAGAAGTTAACCAACTTGATGAAGAACTTATGGCAGAACTCTAATGGATCTTGAGAAATCAAGGTTTTGATCTAATTTGGCATAGGGAAATGTAGAGAGAAGGGAGAGGAAATGGTTTTTAGAGAGAGAGAGATACAAAAGTGATATGAAATATCAGATTCACAAACTGATATACGATGATTTGCTCGAGCGTAGAAAGTCTCGCTCGAGCGTCAAATACACTTTCCCAGTACTTTTGCAGACAGGTCAAACTTCTGAAACCAAACATTCTCCGCTCGAGCGTATAAACGGCCGCTCGAGCGGATAACTAACTTCTAATACATTTTTCATTTTTGCTTCGGGAGCGCTACCCCTCAACCCTGCCAGGGTTCTGCCTCAGGACCCACCAAGGGGCACTGCCCCTTGGACCCCCACGAGCTGACCGGGCAGCTCGATCCCCGCCAGGGCGCTGCCCTTGGACCCGCCAAGGGGCGTTGCCCTCTGGACCCCCGCCAGCTGACCGGGCAGCTCGATCTCTGACATACTCAGTGAAGTGGCAAAACTGGGATCATTACAACCTTCCCCCCTTAAAGAATTTTGTCCCCGAAATTTCAAATCAAACTACTCAAACAAAGGGTTTCTAGCGATCAAAACCACGCTATTTCATTTTCAAATCGTAATACTAACTCTCAACCAAATTCCACCATTTCCACCATGGTTATCTCATTAACAACAACCTCTCAGATACGCATAAACATGAAATTTCCCAAAAAGTAATGGCAACTCTAAACAACCTTATGCTTAAAACAACAACGCACATATCAACATATGGTTAACAACTTTAAATACGTTTCCCTCAACACTAGGGGATATTACAAAGAAAAGCAACTTAAGCATTTTCAAATAAATATTTCATTTTCAAATCATAATACTAACTCTCAACCAAATTCCACCATTTCCACCATGGTTATCTCATTAACAACAACCTCTTAGATACGCATAAACATAAAATTTCCCAAAAAGTAATGGCAACTCTAAACAACCTTATGCTTAAAACAACAACGCGCATATCAACATATGGTTAACAACTTTAAATACGTTTCCCTCAACACTAGGGGCTATTACAAAGAAAAGCAACTTAAGCATTTTCAAATAAATCCGGATATTTGGAGCGGACTTCCGCCTCCCGTTCCAATGTCGCTTTTTCAACCCCATGGTGTCTTTACAACACCTTTACCAACGGTATAGTTTTGCCCCAGACCACTTGCTCCCAGGTATCTAATATTTGAACCGGTTGTTCTTTGTAAGAGGCATCCTTATCTACCTCCAAGTTAGCCTAATCGAGCACACGAGAAGGGTCGGGTTCATACTTCCTAAGCATAGCTACATGAAATACGTTGTGAACTCTCGAAAATTGTGGCGGTAAAGCTAACCGGTATGCCACTTTTCCAATTCACTCTAAGATCTCAAAAGGCCCAATGAACCTTGGAGATAATTTACCACTCTTACCAAATCTCATCAAACCCTGCCCTGGTGAGATTTTTAGAAACACATGGTCACCAACTTCAAAAGATAAAGGTCGTCTCCTCTTATCGGCATAACTCTTTTGTCAGCTTTGGGCCGTAGCTAACCTCTTCCGAATGAGAACAACTTTCTCCATTGTCTCTCTAACAATTTTTGGACCCAGTAACAGTGCATCACCCACTTCGGCCCAACAAGCCGGTGATCTACAAGGTCGGCCATACAAGGCCTCAAATGGTGCCATTTAAATACTAGCTTGGTAACTATTGTTGTAAGTAAACTCAATCAATGATAAGTGCCTTTCCCAAGGCCCCTTAAAATCAAGGACACAAGCACTAAGCATGTCTTCCAAAATCTGAATGGTACGTTCTAACTATCCATCAATCAATGATAAGTGCCTTTCCCAAGGCCCCATTTTTTACCGACCTTAAGACTTAGACGTCACCAGTTGAGCACTTGGTGATATTGCATAATGTGCTCGTTCAGAAGTCTCAGAGTCGCGGCCGTGAGCCCTGCCTCCGGACTTCCGAACCCTCTTCTGTGCCTTGACTCGGTTTGCGAACCAGACTCGATTTTCTCTGTTTCTTTTCCTGAGGGGAGGGAGAGGTCCCGTGGACCATCTCTCAGTGGCCGTGGGCTACGTTTTATGGTCATAGGCCATTTTGCCCATTTCGGAGTCCGGTTTCCGGTTTTTCGAGACCGTTGGCCGTGTGCCTCGGTTCGGGACCGCCTAACCATCTCCGTTTGTTCTGATTTTTGGCATGCTTCCTTTTTACTCCCTTTTGAGGGACACTGGGGCCTGAGAAACCCACTTCGTGGCCGAACGCCACTTTCGGTCCCCCCGCCATTATCACAAAAATGCTCTTGATCAAGATCATCCTTCAAAAAGCCTTCATGCATCGCCGTCACCATCTCTTTCCAACTTTTCAGAACCAAATCACCAAGATCGAGTCAACTTTCTTGTTCTTGAAGCAACTGAACATTTCCTATTGGAGAAACACCATCAAGAAGTCTCACTTCTGACTGATCACCCCATATTGATCAAATAAAAAAGGACCATCAATAACCTTATAACTCAAAGGAAGCATTACTCCACCTTATCAATAGTTTAAAAGGTCAAAGCTTGCATGATGTCTCCACAAATATATTTATTTCTATTTAATTAATGTAGCACTCCTCTCCCCCCACCCCCAAGCCATTAGTTTTCTTTCCACTAAAGATTTTTTGTTTAAAACAAATTACAAGTCAATAAGCTTATGAGCTCCAATTTTGTAGTGTGATTGGAGCTATTAATGTTAGTAATTTGTAATTTTGTTATAAACAAAACCTCTGCGATTGGAGCTGATAATGTTAGAAATGAATAGACTACGATAGGTTGGACATGTACAACGAAGATTGGTATAAGCAACAGTAAGGAAGTGCAATAGGATTACTGCTAATGGAAATGCTAGGGGGAGGGTAAGACCTAAATTGACATGGTGAAGAAGGATATGAATAATATACTTAAGCATATGGCCCTGCAAAACATAATGGAGAAAAATGATTCACGTAGCCCACCCGAATTGATTGGGACACAAGGTTTGGTTTGGTTAAGTGCCAAGTATGTTACACCCTAAGTTTGGATACAAAATTCCCAAACACTACGAATCAATAATAATTGGCCTACATTTTTCAGCATGCATTCTCTATTGGATTACCAGAAGACCACCTAACAAGTTAGCACTAACCACAACTTTATAAATTGGGATCTAGTTTCCAAACCTAATCATTTCAGCCCACCATAGGTTTCTTGTTTTTACTTTATCCCTTCTTAATATTACACACTTCTGTCTCTATTCATCAAATTTACACCCTGTTGTCTTCTCTTTGTTTCTTTATCTTTCTTATGAAAGCAACCTTATTTAATCACACCCAAATAGCTTGCATTACATGTTTCTAGACCTTAGGATCCAACTTTCACCAATCCTAATCCTAATGGAAGCCACTTTTTTGATAAGTAACAATAACCATAATTACAAAGCAAAAGCAGTATACATTGGACAATAACTCAAAGCAAACAAGTTTATTAACTACATTGCCTCCCAAAAAAAAATAAAAAATAAATAAATACAGTAAATTAGAAGGCATACTATCATCTAATGACATCCCAAAAAATAGTGATCTGGTGAATACGGACTTGATTCCGTCAAGACGTACTACTCCCACAAACAACCCCCTCCAAAAAACAAAACCTTAGAGCATGGGATTTTGCATTTTGATGGATCAAAAGTCATATTAGAATAGATAAAGACACCTTAAAATACAATCCTATACAATGATTGAACTTTCTTAGTTTTCCTTTTAGAATTGGTATGGAACTCTTCGTTTGTATGAGACACGGTATAGAGTTTCTTACATAATTAAAATGCAAAACCATCTTATTCTTTTATATTTAATGGCAAAAGTGGCACCTTAGAGAAAAAAAGGAAGTTTCTATACATGCATACAAACCCCACTTACTTTCAAGACAAGATGCCATCCTTTTGCCAATTTTTTCACAGTGTTGGGCATCGTAACTGGTTGGAGTTCTGCTCATGCACTGTATAATAGAGAAAGGACAGAAGATTAGTACAAACACTGTACTTAAAAAGAAAATTGAAGAGGAAAACATAAAAAGCTCTCCAAACACTCATTGAGATTACACTAAAAATCTTTGCATTAGGAAAATTAAATCTTTGGATTTAAGCCATAAACCTATGACTCATCCCGGTGCAGGAAGAGATAGACAAAGGGAGAAGAACTCAAAGTCGGTCACAGCCTTTTACTCTTAAATATTATTCTCAAAACTAAATATTACAATGTCAAAACCCTAATATTTATATAAACAAAGTCCTATATTCTAGTTTGGAAACCTAACCAACTAATATTCCTGGATAAATTTATTTAGTAATAATAATAATAAACTACCAATTACAAGTATGGGACCAAAAAGACTTTGGACCCGTGGACTTCAACATTGGCTTCCAAATCCGATGATTGGCATCTAACCAATCAAGGGCTACGCCATCACATCCTCAAGTAAGAAAAGATGCAACAACTACTATATCACCGATAACCATTCCCGATGCTCTGAACTCTGAAAAATTGTACCTCTTCATATTCTTTTTCTAAAATCTCACATGAACGTGGCTCCTTTACGTGAAAATTTGCCAAGTTCTTGCATAGAGAAGATAAACCCGAAATAGTTGCAGCAAGTTTTACAACTACAAAGATAGAGAACACAAGGGTAAAGGTAAACACATAGACAAGATATTCTAAACATAAAATAGAAAGGAAGAAAACTAGAGAAGTTGCTGACAACTGATCACTACTTTCCTTAGAAATGAAAAGTGAGAAAGTCACTGGGAGCGATTGAGCAACTTCGTTTATTAAGAGAATAATGCTTCACACTTAATTGTTTGAACCAGAAGAAGCTGAAGAAGATTTTCCTACCAAAGACCAGAGAAACAAATTTGAGCAAAAACAATTAACCCATAACATGTATTAGTTAAACTAAACCATAAAAACATCAATTTGCAACATAGGTTGAGGTTGTAAAAAACTTAGAAGTTCAACAAAGAAGCTTTATTAGAATATATCCACACATACAAGCAGAGAGAAATGTCAATGATAAAAGTAAAACTAGTGATAAATCAATCATGAAAAAGTAACTAACAATTTTTGTTTTTAAATTTTGGTTTCCAATATGCTGCAAGTTGTACGCAGATGACACGTGCTTTTTGCGAGTAGATCAAAGACATCAAAATTTTTTAAAAAAAAACCTCTGTCATTTTGAGCAAATGGTTTCAGTTAACAAAAACCACAAACAAATAGAAAAAGACAAAAAAACACATAATTAAATTATGTTCAAAGCGAGACAGAAAGAAAGAGACAGATGGCAAAAGAAAAAAAAATACTGACCTCCACTACCAAAAGAACGAGGCATGACTCCTTATCAACAGAAAGCAAGGTTGTAAAAAATTGGGGGTTACACAGGATTGTTTTGGAATTCTACCAGCCTAGATAGGATCAAATCAAGAATCATAAGATCCTATAAGAAATAAAAAATATATATAGCATTTTTTATGTGATTAATGAATAATATCAAAATTTAGAGAGAATGCACTTCAATAATAAAAAAATTTAATTATAACTATCTTGAAGAAAAAAATAATTACATTAACATTCACAAATTCACCCAAACAAACTTGAGGATGTAGCTCAAGTGGTAGAGCTCTTATACAAAAATTATTAGGCCAACAAAAATTCCACAAGTGTATTGTGCATTAAATTCATGGACAACAATTTTGTCCAAAAAAAAAAAATGAAGAAGAAATAAAGGAATGCATTAGTCAAAGAAGCAGGAGGTTCTAAACTGAACCTAAAGACAATGCTACGATTGACTGATTCAGAACCATTGAAACAAACTAATTAGATAAGGGAACAGTTATATGCTCAAACAGGACAGGTAATGCTAATGCAGAAAACACAAAATGGCAGTATAGTCCAGTACAAAATATAAAATATGAAGACAAAATCTCATCTATCACACATTATACTTATGTGCAACCAGTGACTTGAGTCGAAATGATCAAATGGAGGTCTACCCCTTCTATTTGGTGTCTGAAAGATATATTAAAAAAATAAACTGCAGTTAACATGATAGTATTTACAATATCAGTCAATTTCATCCAGAGAAATTTGCCACTAACAGAGAAAATTATTTGTGCATTGTGTTTTGAAACTTCAAATTCATCTAGTGAAATTTGTCAATAGCAGAGAAAATTACTATGTACTTTGTGTTTTTTGAATTTGATGATTGTTTTGTACCAACACATAGCATTACAGATTACATGATCATATAGGCATTCCCTTGGCACGATATGAGTTAAATTTCTCTGTGGATTTCTAGTAACATCATACCTGAGAAATTGCTGCAGACAATTTTCTCTGTATGGATTGTGTTGACAATCACAATAAAAAAATATATATTTAACCATTGATAGCTATGAAATTTACATTAGTCAAAAAAAGATATATACATATATGTCAAACATCATCATCCTTCAATGTATGAAAAAACAAATTGAATGGTTAATCCTAATTACATTGTGTACATTGTCTTCATTTCACTAGTGTGCTTTTACTATTATACTTTTGGTTCTTCTTCTGGTGGTATTTGAATTGGTTCTGTCCATGATCGGCCAACTTCGGTCACAAATCTCCTATGATTTCTGCCCTCATCAACCTTACGTCTTGTGTGGACAATTTCGAGCTGATAGGTTCATGGTTGCTATATTGTCTCATTATGTAGCATACAAAGAGGCCACAATCCACACTGCATACAAATTATAGGTATAGTTAGTTTTAAAAAACATTCAAATTAGATTATCTTATTTATAAATGTTGTATGAACTTACGAATCGTTGTCTTGTTGGAGAGCATTGTTGACATATTCAAAGTCATAATTTGTGTTTTGTGAGTCTATCAATTTGAAAGAGGATTGTGATTGTGCCTCTCTTTCAAGGCAAGCTTTCAAAAAATTCACCACATAATCTTGCTACAAGAAAATATTTTTTAAATAACAAAGAAATTTACAGACAAATCAATGGGATTCTATGAAAATTATCATCACATAAACATTATCATAGATCAGAGAAATTTGCACTTGTTACTAATTGTTTTACATCTTTGATATATTTGTCTTGTGCATCATCCCTCCTTGGCCTTAGTGAGTTATAGAACCTCCATAAATTGTCTTGTTTGTCCAAGACTAGCAAGGGTCCAATGATTTTCATCTGTTGACTTCTCATTACCCCCAATATTTATTGGGAAATGAAGGAACCTGTAGTTCCTCCATGCTATTTCAAGATGCTTGTCAAATAATGAGACTCGGAAAGTTTGATTTTCCATCATCTTGATAAAGTTCTGTGGTAAGAGAAAATCAAAAAATGGTTATGTTATGAGAAAGTTGAAATGACGGGAATTTAAGAAATATATACAGAGAAATTTTAAATACACATAACTAGTCAGAGAAAATTAGACTAGTGACACAACTGGCTTCAAGAAGTATCTTAACAAGAGAAAGTAGTAAGTAAATTCCAGAGAAAATCAAATAAAAGAGTAGTAATATACTAAGCTCATGCATGTGAAAAAAAATGAAGTTGGTTGTTGTCATTTTCTCATTTGGTCAGCAAATAGGATCTCTCCATAGCCATTAATGACCTGAAAATATCATTTATAATTGTAACATTGGTTTATAAAGGCTGATAGAACATTGCAGAGAAATTTTGATGAAAGACTTATATTGTTGGCAATTTTTTTTCCCTTTATTAGGTTTCCAATATCTTCAAAGGTAATGAGATTCAACTCACTTGTCCAGATTAAAGCCCTATAAGATGACAAAGAAAAGATTTAATACTTGTTAATACAATATAAGTTAGTAAATTGTTGTTTGTTATCTTCTATTTTATTTGTTGTACTTGCTTGAGTCCAGACACATTTGATATGTACTATAAGATGTCTTTTACATGTTCTTTTATCAATTTTGAAACCGGTAGAGTTTGTGGAAAAACCTAAGATTTTCTAATGCTTGTTGGTTGAAGCAAGACGTACACATCGGCATCAAGTACTTCTTTGTCTTTAGTGGTTTGCTCTGTTTGCTTTGCAGCTTGTTTTGAACCTCTACTCACCTTCGCAACTTTGGGATATTGAAATTCTGGATCTTGTTGCTTTTTTCTCCCTTTCTTTTGCCTTTAAATTCTTTATCATTGATATAGGATCTTTTTTCACTATAGACAATGAAAATATCAGTAAAAGTAAAATTTCTCTGAAGTAACAGATGATATTTCAATATGTAAATTTATTTTATTCAATATTTTCCAGTTACCATAGACTTTTGTCTTTTGTTTTGGTTGTTCTTTGTGTGCCACTTGTTCTTGTTGGGTTGTTGGTTGTTGTTTCACTTCTATTCCAACTATACTCGGTGAAAATTAAACAAGCCCCAAAAATCAAATAAGCAAATAGACAGAGAAAATTAAATAAGCAGTAGAAATCAATAGAAATAAGCAGCAAAAACTAATGTGGTTAGAGAAATTTAACTTCTAGAGAAAATTGCCATTGACAGAGAAAATTATAATAAATAGAAATTTCTCTGAGTTATATTGACACAAGGGCATAACTTTTTGTGGCTCAAGATTTTCATCGACCTTGTGGTTGAACTTGTGTTGGTGTTCGGTAAGGTTGTGCTGCTAGTTGGAGGGATAGTTCTTGAATTTGTTCATGCAATCTAGCATTTTCAGTTTCAATCTCTAAAATTGAATACCTCAACTGTTGAATTGTTTTTGTATCATCTTCTTTTTGAACCTCCAACATCCTTAGTTTCATTTGGTTTGGGTTGTCTCTTTCTTGAAGCTCTGAGTTATGTGATGTCAAGGTTCTTATTACAATCTCCTTTTCTACAAGTAATTCATTCAAATTTCTCTCTTTTTTTTCTATTTTGGATTTAAAAAGTGCCTTTAGTTTTTAATGTAGATCAGCAATTTGAGCATCCTTTGATTCTGCAGATTCTTAAGGCTGATGCATTGTTGAGCCACAAATTCTATCATGATGTTGGTCCATCGGCTCATTATGTTATTCTTTATCATTTTTCCCGTTGTTTTCTTCTTGCTCTTTAGATTGAGTGCCTCCATCTTCTTCTTCATTGTTTTCTTCTTTCTATTCATTTTTTCCTTTGTCTTCTAATTCTATTTCTTCACTTTCTTCTCTGGCTTCTACTTCTCCACTGCTTGTTTGATCTTCTTGTCCGGCTTCTAGTTCTTCTATGTTGCATTCTCTTTCTTCATTCCCTTCTTCTTCAGATGAATCTTCTAATGTCTCTTTGAATTTGACAATTGCCTTTTTTGATTCTTTCTTCTTCTTTTTACCAAGACAAAACTCCTCTGATGGGTTTTTAACTTGCTCCTTGTTATCTATCTGTAACAGGAGGCTCTTTTATTAGAGAAATGTTACAAAATTCACTGAGAGAAAAAAGTTCAAATGAGGCAGATAAAATTCATCTAAATGATACTAATAGAAAACAAATTTCAAAGAAAATTGTATGGGCCAGAGAAAATTACAGAAAAGGAGATAGTTTTATGAGGTAGAGAAAATTATGAAACGAGCAACATAATTTAGATATCAGAGAAAATCAATCAGAGCATATAAGTTAATGTTACTATAATTGTGTCAAAGAAATTTGGATTCTAGAAAAAATTCATTACAAGGGTAGAAATAAACAGTGTTAATCAAAGAAGCAAGACATATAAGTTACGGGCCAGAAAAAATTACACGCAGGGAGAAACAATTTGATGGGCCAGAGAAAATTATGAAACAACTAACATAATTCAGATATCAGAGAAAATCAATTAGGGCATATAAGTTAATGTGTTACAATTGTGGTCAGAGAAATTTGGATTGTAGAGAAAATTGATTACAATGGCAGAAATAAACCAGCGGTAATCAAAGAAGAAACATAAATTGATAGTTCAGAAAAAATTGATCTCGATCAATCAAGGCACAAAGAGGGAAACAAACCCGTGGTCAGAGAAATTTTGAAATTTCACTGAGATTTCAGTGGCGATAGAAATCTGACCTGTTGAGGTGCAAAGAAAGTGGACTGGTGTCTTCTACAGCTGTTTGGTCAAGCATTGCAGGTTCCACTTGGTCCATCTTGGAAAGTCAGTTGTGTTACTGTCTTCCGAGTCAATGATATTTGCATGTTCACATAGCCAATACTGTGATGGAAATTAAAGTAATTAAATTTTGCTAAACACACAAAATTGTAAGTATGATAACTGCAAATTTGAATGAAATTATACTTACCAGCAATGCAATGACACACTCCGTAACTTTTTCTAGAGTTTTGTGCAATGCTATGATAGAATCAATCAATGTTGATGTGATTGTTTCTGGCTAATCATACTATTTCATTGATTCAAGAGGTTCCACATACTTTATAAAAACTCACCCTATTGAATTCTCACTTGTTGCAAAAAATAGGTTGAGACACAAGTACAATGTAACAATGATTGCTACATTTTTTAAGTCAGTTGGTTGCTTGCCTTTCATTGCTTTGACCAAGGCATTTTTAAGAACAGGACCAGTGAGCCTTATGTCCTTTAGGAATCTTCTCCTTAGGAATGTAGATTTTGGCTTTTTAGAGTATCTTAATGACATGGCTCATTCACCTCCTTGCAAATCAAAAATCAAGGTCATGTCATTGTTTGTAAGGGTCAAGTTCTTTTTACCAACTGTGAATACTTTTGTTTTTCCATTGTAACATTGGATTATTGCAACTACATCATCATCAGATTTCTTTGGATCCATCTTTCCAGTGGTTAGAGCTTGGATCAAATACCAGAATGTGGTCTTTTGAAACTCTACAAGTTGGTTTGAATTGAATTTAAGTGTTTGAAAAAGGAGACAACAGATGAGAGGTTAGATCGGTATTGAATGCTGTAATGAGCTTTCTTACTTTGGAGTTTAACAGGTTGTTTCCCTCTTGAGCTAGAGCCTTTTAAAGTTGAGGTATTCATCTTGATGCTAGTTGCTTCATCACCTTGGACTTGTGTGTTTTGGCAAGGAGTGTGTGGTGTTTTGCTACTTTTTGA